ATAAAAGTTATTACGTAGAGATAACTTAAGATAACACAAAAGAGCGAAACGGTTACTTATTTCTGATCAGATAAGATATCCTCTAATGATTTCACTGAAACCAATTTCTATAATAAAAAGATCACATCTCAATTTCCTTCATTGAGGCAGTGCTGTATGACCCTTGTGGGTTTAGCGCTTACTTATGATTATAATAATAATTTGTTTATTAAAACAGGCACGCTAAAATTGATACTACATAAAATCAAGGGAAGCTTCATTGGGAAACACATATCTACACTAAAAGTTTGAAGCCGACCATGAAATTCATTCTCCAGTTCAAGCAGAGTATCTAACAACATCTGCATCAACACAGACTAAACCCAAAAATTGTTTCTTCTGCTTCATACGATGCATAAACTATTAAAAAGTGACGCCATGGATGAATCTCTAAACCTGTAGCGATCATACAGCGACTGGGAATGGAAAGCATTTAGATTTGATCCAAGGAAAAAGAGCATAAGTCTAATTCCTCGAATCAAGAGACCCTCACCCGTATCAAGGCACCTATTATGAGGATGCATTCGTCAGTAATTTAATGAGAAATAATTATTTACCATCTCGAGATTACGAGTGGAACAAATGGCACCTAGTACTCTCTTAACAATACAAATCTTTGAATAAATGGCTCAGAAAACCGTCAAGTTGATAAATAAGAAACTTGTGCAACATTTAGATATCTTTTACAAATCTTATTTTTTTAATTAAAATCAAATATTTTCTTTAACAGGAATGTAGCGAGTTTGAAATAAAATTATAATATAAAAATAAAATTGGGACAAAAATCAAATCTGAATGTGAAAAGAAAATTAGAAAAAAAAAAATTCTTGTTTTAGTGATTTTTTTCAGTTTATTGATATTTTTAAGTGAAGTCTTAACTATTTTCAGAACATCAGCAATATTAGTCGAGAACGTCTTATCTGATTGGCTTCAGGTTTTTAACGCTGATGTTATGAATTTTGGGCAGAATTCATGGGAGTATTTGCATGTGTGGATGTACTGTGCACAATGTTGCCCAGGTTATTCCTAAACAAAGCATCGTTTGATAGCAGAGACTCGTCTAATTGACCTCAAAACTTTGGTGTATCCTACTATACTGAATGTGTAGGTGGTATATTGAAGCTTTAAATCCACTAATATTATAGTTTTGTTTCACATTATTTGCAGCATTTTTTCTTTACGTTGGTGAGCGGTTCTTGATCTGAACTTATCTCTATGACCGCGGGTTCAATCCCGGCCGGGGGTATGGTTTATCTTCTAATTGCTTGGATAGAATCTAACTTTGATTTCACAGGCGCCATATGACCCCTGCGGTTTTAGATCTTTTCTCAGGCTAACATAATAATTGTGAACGTCATCAGTCATCAATGTCTGTTGCATCGAATAATATGGATGAAATTTTTCATGGGTTTAGGCTCTGTAGGCACAAATTTTGTTGAATTTTGTGCAATGGATAGAAAAGGCATCTTCCGATTGGAGTCAAACTTTTAGTGCTGATATTTTCCTCAAGGCAAGCAATCTCTTGATGTTTAATTGAGTGAGTTATAAAGTTAAATATTGTTAGTAATACTGGTTGTGAAATAATGGAAAAATATTATTTGTAATGAGAAATACTACGTCAGTGTTTAACTTTGGTTATCGTAGGTTAAATCAACATAATGTACTTTTATGTGCTCTCAAGACCATTCTCAAAAATTTATATGTTATGTATATTATGCTTCCTAAAAACCTTCTTACTTACTGTACTTACTTAAAACAGTTTGCAATGATTTTTGGAAGAAATTAGAAAAATTTAAATACTGCTTTTCATGCTATAATTTCTGAGTGTCTCATCTGATAGCTTCAGTTCTTTTTTTCTGATAACTTTATAATAAATTTTCTGAGTGGCTTCAAGCTTAATTTCGCTTTCACAATATTATCACATTGAAAGCATAATTTTGTGTGATGCCGGTGAAATGCTCTTAATCCAATGAACTAGAGCTGGCCTCTTTTTCCTAAGATCAAGCCTAATTACTGCTACTCAGACGTTGTAAGACACAATAAAATGATCGCTTCCTCAATAATATAATAAATTAATAATAAACCATAAATAGCGTCTACTTTCTCTGGCTTCATTATTTTATCGTCTATCTGTGATCACATCTTGTCATACATTTGCCTTTTCTCCTTTTCATGTCTTATATTATGAAATATATCGATGAAATGATGAACATTAACGTATAAATCGTGTGCAAACTAATCAAAACAAGTTCCTCTCTCGTGGCTAAGTTTTGTATAGTTGAGTAACTGGCAAGTGTTTATAGTTTGTTTGGCTAAGTCGCAGAGTATTAGTGTTGGCTGTCAGTAATATTGTTATGTTTATGTATGTTTGACCTACCTATGAAGGTATTATGTATACAAAATTTTAAATAGAATATAAAAACGATGAAAGGAAAATGAATGAATAAAACAAGTGCTTCACTTGGGAAAGTTTGGCGCCGTGAAGTTCCACCTTCGCAGCTTGCGTGTAACAACGCTATTTCTCCCCTCATCTCTAAATCCTTCACCACTGAGGAGTTACTTGCTTTTCTCGTTGCTACTTTTTATTCTCTGCAACCGTCGCTATTCTCATCAGCTTCTCCGTTTAGTAAAAAAAGTACTGAGCCCAGACTACATCTTATACAATTACAGCGTGAAGGCGAGACAGTGTGAGGGCAAGTTTTTCGGCCAACCTGGTTCCATGGGTCAATATTGCTCGGTGCGGAGGTAACTGGGTCACCGTATTGGTCGCATCCCTTAAAGACTTTGTTTTCCATTGTATTTTCTCCAGTCTTTATCCATATTAAATGCTACTACATTCTATAAAAGCGTACCCAATACTTCCCTTCATCGGCTCTCTCCTTTATGTAGGTTTATATATTAGTGACACTTCTCTATGCGCCAAATAATTGGAAGTATTGTAAACAGTGTATAATGTAACGTGTAAAAACACGTATTAGCTCCTCTTTGCAACAGAAATATAAATATGTTACAGTTAAGTAAAAAATGTTTCAGAGGAACGCAAGACACATTTATGATTCATTTTTAATGACACTATTCCAATATATTCACATCAATATACAAAGTTCAAGATAAACATCTTAAGCAAGATTCAGGTGCTTATAATAATTTATGTGAATATAATAATAATTCTGCGAATACTAATAACCGGGATATGACACAACTTAATATTCCTTCCTTAACCAATCACCTCACGTCTCGTGACTCAGGCAGATGACATGGTCACCCTGGGACACCCGTCTTATATATGATGAAGACTTTCTTACGGCTACTAACCTTGGGGAGATAACCCAGGATCACCAATGAAAGGTAAATTAAACTATTTTTAGGTCCTACCCCAGGATGATACCCATAGAAGGCATTTCTTCCCTGCTTGGCAAAAGAGGTAGCAGGTTAACGTTAGTATACATTCCCATACGTCGTCACTGCGCTACGAAGCACCCACAGTGCAAAGTTTGGCTGACAGCCAAGAGCAACCTGGTTCTTTTCCCGGACAATTCGAAACGTATGGGTAAGTTTTCTTACATCGACAGTTGTTGCTTACTTTCGGGAAAATAGGTACATGTGTTATTCAGCTCTTGTGAGTCGCACCCTGGAAAGAGGATCTAATTAACGAACAAAAATAAGTCTTAACTAGGGTTCCTTCAAGTGGATTTTACCTTGAAGCTGATGAAGAGCTCTTAATCCAAGAAACTGGATCTACCCTCCTTTGGATCAAGCAACTGATACCTCACATAACCTAGGCTTTTCTCTTCTCAATGAACATCATAATCATTATTTCACCAAGGGTTAACAATTCACAGGAGTTATTACTAGTGATAACGTACAGTATATTACTGAGGAAAGTTGTGCTTACTTACCAGTATATTACTGAGTAAAGTTGTGATGGCGTACCAGTATATTTATGGGGAAGATAAAGCCATCATATGTTACTGAGGAAGATAGGACCCACGTAAATTACTGAGGAAAATAAAACGTAGAGATGATGGTAGGGTCTATTTATATTTCTAAGAAAGCCAAGGGCCTATTACTGAGGTAAACAGGGTCTACGTTTATTAATGAGGAAAGAGAGCTTACGTGTATAAAGCCTATCATGACTCACAAGTAGGCCTACAAAAAATGCCAAGCTCGTTCATGACGGTGTTTAGAATCAATGATGGTAACTATTACTGCACTGTCCCACACAGGTTAGTAAATATATAAATTTTATGGTATTTAATATACGTTATATGCTTTAAATAATGTAATACTTGTTTTATCTATTATATCATTAATTTGTCATACTTAAAAATACAGTAATTCTGAGTATATCGCTTCAGTTTAATTTTGGCAGAGTGTCAGTACCGGTATAATTACCAGTCACCTATCATCGGTATTAGTATACTTTATATAGTGTAACTTATTGTGTAGTGTGACTTATTATGTGGAACGTGTTATGTAGTGTGACTTATTATGTAATGTGACTTATGTAATGTGACATTGTTTATTATGACTGATTTCGTAGTGTTACTCATTATGTTGCGTCACTTTATGACCAGGTGTTATGCAGGTTTCTGCATTAATGTGAAGTTTATTAAATAAGGTGTTTATTGTGAAATAAATAAGGTTGTCAATTTGTGGGCGCTTTCACAGTGTGACTATTGCAGCAGTGTAACTAATGTAGCAGTGTGACTATTGCAGCAGTGTAACTAATGTAGCAGTGTGACTATTGCAGCAGTGTAACTAATGTAGCAGTGTGACTATTGCAGCAGTGTAACTAATGTAGCAGTGTGACTATTCCAGCAGTGTAGCTAATGTAGCAGTGTGACTATTGCAGCAGTGTAACTAATGTAGCAGTGTGACTATTGCAGCAGTGTAACTAATGTAGCAGTGTGACTATTGCAGCAGTGTAGCTAATGTAGCAGTGTGACTATTGCAGCAGTGTAACTAATGTAGCAGTGTGACTATCTTAGCAGTGTGACTATCTTAGCAGTGTGATTATTGTGGTAGCGTCTCAGGGCAGAGCCGCTGGGCAGTGTGCTGGAGGGAGGTTGCAGAAATGTTGTGTGCTGTGTGTTTTGTTGTGATCCTCAGCCTGTAAGTTGTGTTTTGGTTTGTTTTACGTTCAAAAGAGCACTGGGAGGTGCCTGGTGTGTGTTTTTTTTTTGTGTGTGTGTCGGCTTAACGTGAGTAGTGGAGAGGACAGTAATATTTGCATTTTTACCAGCAGGCAGAAAGCCGGCAGGTATATATGGCGATCCATTAGACACTATTAATAATGTTAAATCTTCCTGTGGCGTAGCTATGATTTGTGGGTTTATCCCTCGGTTTTGATGGTAACAATAATGATGTGGCTTGACTTTAGGCAGCTTGTGGGAGTCTTCTGGTGCATAGTGTTTTTGCAGTGTTTTATATATGCTTATTTTAATAAAGATGAGTGTATCTGCCCTTCCTGGTAATCCAACAAATTACTAGTTGTTAGGTAAGACACATATGCAACAGTTAGGTATCTTTATTATGAAACGTTTCGCCTACACAGTAGGCTTCTTCAGTCAAGTACAGAAAAGTTGATAGAAGCAGAAGATACTTGAAGACGATGTAATCAGTCCATCACCCTTAAAGTTTTGAGGTGGTCAGTCCCTCAGTCTGACCACCTCAAAACTTTAAGGGTGATGGACTGATTACATCGTCTTCAAGTATCTTCTGCATCTATCAACTTTTCTGTACTTGACTGAAGAAGCCTACTGTGTAGGCGAAACGTTTCATAATAAAGATACCTAACTGTTGCATATGTGTCTTACCTAACAACCTGTCGGTATTTTATACCATTTTAATGTTCAAATTACTAGTTACCTGTTTAACATTGTGTCGTTTACGAAGCATGAAAGATTAGCGGCTTATTTTTCATGTAACTTTATACATACACCAAGACAAGCTATATTTAACCCCTCCCTACTACCTCCCTCCCCCATGTATACTTGGGAACACCAGGTGTTTAGTGACAACGGTTTTGAGACCCAGAATGTGCTGTGACTTGGAATCTACTGAGACCAGGAATGTGCGCGAATTAAAGTATTATTTTCTTATTATTATTTTTATTATAGTTATTAGTTTTGATATTTAATATACATTTAGAAAAATAGTGAATAATATTTATATTATTGCATTATAAAATATTTTCTTATTTAAATATCGATATTAAATGCTTTATATACAAGTTTATGAATGAATTACAACTATCTATCAGCGGATATGATATTCCTTCACTACTGTGTGGTTTTTGTCATTACATATATAAAGGTTGAGCTCAGCGAAGGTCTGGTCAACACGCGCAGAACTCACCGTATGCAACTGACAATAATGAAAGATAAATAAGTCAGTATCCTCTCATGGCACCTATGATCATGGCTGGGAAGACATGTTCTGAGATTGCGCATCAACAAAACTACTAACCAATGGCTGAAGCCAAAGGTGACACTTCTGACAACCGGCCAACCAGGGTAGCTCTTACAGCCAACTAAACACCGTTTCTGGCTACACAGAGGACCAATGAGGGTAAAGCTTGTGTGTTGCTTGTGTATGTGTGAATGATAAAGGAACTGCAGGTGGGCAAGTTAGATCAATGGACCCAAGACCCTCACAGCGGTAACACTAAGCAATTTCCAGTGACCCAACCACAACACCATCCACCACTGAGCCTTCCACTTCCTAGTAAGTGTTAACTGCTGAGATTAGATTATTAGTCATAAAGCCTATTGGCTATTTCTAGGTTATTAAAGGTGCATTTCACCACTACACCAACATCAAGGTTCCAATGATCCCTAAGATTTGGTTTGCAGTAAACACTGAGTACACTTAGAAAATTCATTAATCTTTATTTTTGGGGATTCACTATTACTGACGTTTGTGTTCTGATGGACATTGGGTTTAATAACTGAAGTGCAGTAGATAGAATTTAAACCTAGAAAACTAATTAGTTACAAACATGCGATTTACACTGTATCTTTCACCGCTTTTATTTTCTGGAGCAGTGTATAGATTGTCAAATTGTTCCGATACCTGCCAGTGTGTTCCGATACCTGCGAGTGTGTTCCGATACCTGCCAGTGTGTTCCGATACCTGCCAGTGTGTTCAGATACTAACAGAGTATTCAGATATATGTCAGGATGTTCAGATACCTGCACGAGTGTTCAAATACCTACTAGGTTATTCCTATATTGTCAGTCATCAGATTCCTTCCAAGGTGTTCACATACCTTTCATAATGCTCGGGTACCTGCCAGTGTGTTCAGTTACCTGTCAAGGTCTTCAGACACATGCCAGTGTGCAGATTTCTGTCAGTGTTCCGATGCATGTTAGGGTATTTAGATACCTGCTAGGTCTTAATGAACACCTTAGAAACTAGGGTTTTCATATATTGTTAGTGATTAGATTCCTTCCAGGATGTTCAGACACCTGCCACAGCTTTCAAGTACCTGCCAAGATGCGTATTCGGAGAGCTGCTGGGGAGATCAAGTGCCTACCAGGGTGCTCACCTAGCTTAGACATCTGTAAGGGTGTTCATTTACCTACCAGGGTGTTCTGATACCTGCAAGGAAGTTTAGATATTGACTTTGATGTTTGAATATTGACCTTTGTATTCAACATAGCAGAGTGCTCGGATACTGACTTGTGTTCAGATACTGAGTACGATGTTCACTTATAGGAAAGGATGCTATTATACTATTCAGGGTGTTCAGATACTGGCTAAAGTGTTCAAATGCTGGCCAAGTTCAAATGCTGGCTAAGGTGTTCAAATGCTTTCCAAGCTGTTCAAATCCTGCCCAAGGTGTTCAAATACTGGCCAGAGTGTTCAAGTACTGCCCAGGTTGTTTAAATGCTGGCCATGGTATTCAAGTACAGGCCAAGGTATTCAAATACAGGCCAAGGAATTCAAATACAGGCCAAGGTATTCAAATACTGGCCAAGGTGTTCAGATGCTGGCCAGGCTGTTCTAATACTGGCCAGGATGTTCAGAAAGTATCAGGTACATGTATCAGATACATGTGCCAGGTACATGTACCAGGTACATGTACCTGGTACATGTATCAGATACATGTATCAGATACATGTGCCAGGTACATGTACCAGGTACATGTACCAGGTACATGTACCAGGTACATGTATCAGATACATGTATCAGATACATGTATCAGATACATGTATCAGATACATGTATCAGATACATGTATCAGATACATGTATCAGATACATGTGCCAGGTACATGTATCAGGTACATGTACCAGGTACATGTACCAGGTACATGATCAGGCACATGTATCAGGTCCGTGTATCAGGTCCATGTGTCAGGTCCGTGTGTCAGGTCCATGTATCAGGTCCATGTGTCAGGTCCGTGTGCCAGGCACGTGTCAGGTCCGTGTGCCAGGCAGGTTTGTCAGGTCCGTGTGCCAGGCACGTGTGTCAGGTCCGTGTGCCAGGCACGTGTGTCAGGTCCGTGTGCCAGGCACGTGTGCCAGGTCCGTGTGCCAGGCACGTGTGTCAGGTCCGTGTGCCAGGCAGGTGAGTCAGGTCCGTGTGCCAGGCAGGTGTGTGAGGTCCGTGTGCCAGGCAGGTGTGTGAGGTCCGTGTGCCAGGCAGGTGTGTGAGGTCCGTGTGCCAGGCAGGTGTGTGAGGTCCGTGTGCCAGGCAGGTGTCAGGTCCGTGTGCCAGGCACGTGTGTCAGGTCCGTGTGCCAGGAACATGTCAGGTCGCTGTATCAGGTCCGTGTATCAGGCACATGTATCAGGTTCGTGTATCAGGTCCGTGTATCAGGTCCATGTGTCAGGTCCGTGTATCAGGTCCATGTGTCAGGTCCATGTGTCAGGTCCG